GATATTTGATGTTATTTCTTGTTTTTTTTTATCATCTTACAGGCTCTGACATGTTAGATAAATTTAAAAATGAGGTTTAGAAAAAAAATCTGTCAGATTTGAAAAAAATCTGTAAGATTGCTGTATATGACCGTACACACGCAAAATGATGTAAAGTCCTTATAACTTACGGACAATCCGTACAACTTGACATGTATGGAGACTCCCAAAGACTACCTTAACATGTCAATACATATTACATAAACCTGGGACAAATGCCATATACATATCCTATTATAGGTATTTATTAATGGTTATTTAAAGAATAGATTATGATAACAGGCTTTTACTAGCATTCAGGATGAATTTGAAACCATTTCATAATTAGCAGTTTTATTTAGAAAGGTATTTAAATAATGCATATTCTGAGTAGGCTAATTTTAGATCTTTTAGTTTTAGTGTCAGCTGAACCACCAGAGTCAACCAGCAGCTTCATTTATAGTTATTTATTTATCCATCTATAATATTTACCACCTTCCTTTCTGGGTCGYGGGGAGCCAGTAGCTGGTACCTATGAGCTGGGGGTCAGGTCGTAAGTCCATCACGGGGACACAGAGACAAACAATCACTCACACTCTCACAAACACCTAGGGACAATTTAGAGCTATCAATTAGCCTAACATTCATGTTTTTTGATCACCACTGTACCATTTATAGTTTATTTATAGTTTTTAATTATTTTATTATTTCTTTGCCGCTGTTTATAAAGGTTAGAGCCTGGCAAGCTGACATTCATTGGTTAATTATCTGGTTGTTAGCTTCCATAGTGAGCTAGTAGTGGTAGTCTGTATATTTCAGCTGCTAACATGTAGCTTGTGGCAAACTTGTTTAAAACAGTGTTGTCTTGAAAAATCTACGTTTTTTTTCCTGGTAAAGTCATGACTGACTGTTTATCGAACAGTGTTTCCCAAAGGTGAGGTTGGGACCTCACCGGGTCATGAATCACCAAGGTGAGGTCTTGAAAACCCCTATTGTTACTTTGTGGATCACATTTTTTGTAAGAAGCATAAATGTTTGGGAGGCTGACATCATCTGATGCCAGACTCGGCTGAATAGCATCTCAGCAGCAGGATGAGAGGATGGGCACCAAGTTTTTAACACAGAGGTATACTATGAAACTGATAATGGGCTCATAAAATGTAGAAACATTCAAAAACATACATGATGTGTACCTGCGTGTGTAAAAACAGGCCCAAGGGATTTTTCTATTCACAAATTACCCTTATCTTGACTCCAGGGCTATGTTTTTCTGAACTCCATATAACTATGATGAAGTAGTCCAAATAAAACAAAAATTGCCGTGTCAATATTGGATATGTTTTATTAAACAAGTAAAAACAAACAAAACATAAAAACCAAGTATATGGAACTTGTAATTATTCAAAAATGGATTTGGTTGTGTAAAATAAATTTATCACATCAAAATCCATCGTAAGCCTTATGCATATGTTTGCATCTAAAAATTATCCATTGGTACAAAAGGTTTGTGTGATTGAAGACTGAGTGCATATCACCCGCCTYCTTTCATGCCTGAGTTGTAGACTAAGATTACCTTCAGTTGAACGGCATTGCRACTATTTATTTTTCCTGTAAATGACGTAACACACTATTTCATGCAACATTGTGAGCTCTCATGAGATGTGTTGGCAATCAGTGAGGATGACGCTCGGCTACCACACCACGTTTTAGCCCAATATCTGTAAAATCGACTGAGTTAAAGGGGCAATATTATGTGTTTCTCAGGCATATATTTAAATACTATACCACAATAAAGTATCTATGTCACCTTTAGCTGTTATTAAAATGCGGTTTTTATGTTTAAATAGAAAATAAACTCATCTTCTCATCACTTCCTCTTCTAAACGGCTTGAAATTGTCCTCTGTCTCTTTAAGAACCACCTTCTGCTTCTGTC